AAGGTTTCCTCTCATTGTTCGTGACACTCTGATCATTGAAAGTAAGAAACCGAATTTCTTCTTCCTACACTGCAGTGATCTAGTATGCCTCTTTAGGCCCCGGACAGACTTCACGCGATTTGATCGTCGCGACTCAATCGCCGACATTTCCATTCATTTTCATTTCACATTCAAAAATTTCGGACTGGAAAAGTATCACAACCGAAATGCAAGTTGATCGGCATGGAATGATGTTATAACAGTTGTCTCGTCGCGATTCAGTCGCGACGATCAAATCGCGTGAAGTCTGTCCGGGGCCTTAGTCAGTACTACGCAATCAATAACAAGCATTTCCCCACAGTCAGAAACAAGACAGGTCGACAAGTTTGATGCGATAGCATAACATTTTGGTGGATTTATTTACTCTGCATTCCTTATATGAGACATGATTTCTAGCGAAGATAATCAAGATATCATGGTCTGTTTTGAATCCTGGGGTCACTGATAGGGCTTGCAAATACGTGCCCTTAAGACATAATTATCCACTAATACTATTCAGTGGGTGATTTAAGTGAACAAATTTTGGTGTCGTAGAATGGAATTATTCATTAATTTGGAACGTTTTCGATCAAAACTGTGGCATCTCTCATTAACTAAACCAGTGGCGTCTTAAGATTCTCTTCGAAAGAGGGGAAGATAACAAATTATTATTAAATTAAGGATTGAACGTGGCGTTAGCCATTTACGAAAATTTTGTGGTGCTTCCGAATTTTTTGCGGACCTACCGATTTCAAAAAGAGTCTTAGAGGATTGAATTTTAAAAAAATTTTAAAATAATGAAACAACTCATAAGTATGGGCAAGTCACTTCTATAACCCAATTTTAAAATAATTCAAATCAGTCACAAGTATGAGCAAGTCATTTCTATAACCCATGTGAGTAACTTCCGAAATATTTCGCGACCCAAACTCTTAGAGGTATCCCCCCCTTCTTCCCTCCCCCCCCCCCTCCCTCTTTTCGCCACTGCTATCTACTGCATCGGAAGATTGCCAAAGAAAGTCATACAATTTGACTACTGCGTCTCCAATAAATCTACATTTCCATTCCAAATTGAAAGCAACTTCCTGGTTTACCAACATGATAGTCTACTCGCACTATTCAAAAAATCTGCAAAAATGCAAGGAACTAACTGCTCACCTTACGTGTCTCAATGTAATATTACCAGGGCTCAGCACAGCTGGCACCGGGTCAAGCTGGATATCGTTTTTGGCGCGGAAAGCAAAGGGGATATCGTTTCTACAGGGGCCGAGGCGGAGAACTGCCGCAAAAATGCCGCCGGCATGCCACCGGCATACCATTGGCAAGCTGTTTATCAACAAACAAAGGCGTTGTTTTCAGCCAAAACGCAATAGTATGACACCAAATTTGGTGTGTGCATGCGCGTTGGTGGACCGGGACTAAGGGCCAAAAATTTATGAAAACTTATGTGAATGAAAGCTGTGCCCAACTTTTTTCTGAATTAGCTGGCACCGTGCCAGCTGGGTGCCAGCTGAGCTGGCACCGACACTTTGCTCACATAAGTTTTCATACTTTTTTACATAAAATGTATCTACACTGTAAATGATTACATATGGACAAGAAACTGTTTCATAATGTTCTCTTTTCAGCGTTTTATAGCAATTTGAAAACCACTTGGTCCGCTCCGCCGTCGAAAAATCGGCTTTTTCTGCTTCTCAAGATGTGATTCGACCACTTAAAAAGCTCAGAAAGCTGTGAAAAGTTCTTTCATGAAATCGGAAATGTATGAAAACATTACTACATTTTTTTACATTTTTTTACATATATAAAAATGATGACGGGTTTTCAAAACAGGTCAAAAGGGACTTCGTACGAAATTTTCAATATCAAACGGGACTTCGTTTTGAAATTTCCCTGGTGCCAGCTCGTGCCGAGCGCTGAATATTACTTTAGAAAGTATGCCGAATATCTCACGTTAGTTCTGCAAGGGCGCTGCGACGAAATGAAATCATGCAGCCAAGCAGTTGCTAGCTCGTCAGTATACACTCCGCTGTCACAATTTGCATGCAGAGAGTTTACCTTAATTTTTTTATCGATTAAATAATTCAGAGAATTTTAAACTTCAAATCCCATTGCGCTGTTCTGTCTGTAATGTATTTGTAGGGAATGCTTGTGTACCCTTCAGATTTAAGTAGTACACATGATACCCAACCCTATGTCTACTCTGTTTCTTATTGTTAGGTGAATTTTCCATGTACTAACTGGCATGTTTGTGGGAGAATGGAGGCAGAATTGCTGGAAGAGAAGTAAGCGAACCTGTATCAAACCTCTGCCATATCCATCTTCGCCAACTGGTTCGGGAGCCCTGCCTTTTTCTGAATTGGAAAGCTTTCCTAGTCCAAATCCTGACGATCTTGACATGAGGAGCTCAAGGAGAAAGAATATATAAGCAATCGGTTGGCTGATATTAAGCTTATCAATGTAAAGCGTTGAGGATTATTAGCAGTCATTGAAGTAAGCCTTTATTGACAGCTGTCGAGAACTCGCTAACGTTTTGGTAGTGTAGACAAACATCTTCAATGACTGTTCTTAAGATTAATTCCACAAAACCTTTCCTGCCTTACAAAATGCGATCGTCAAGACCTTTGCATTTGAAGAATGTGTCTCAGCTACAGAGATAGGTGCTGCCCAACCTTGACTTCCTATTAAAGTTTGCTTTCATGTTTTATAATCGACACCATTCGAAGAGAAAGAATAGTAGAAAGGAAGTGCTTTCAGCAGTTTTCTCTACAAAGGTCTACAAACATTTTTGCATTCGTAAAATATGCCGTCCCGCGTTTGAGGTATCCGTAATCGCGGAAGTGCTCATTTGAATTCGCCAATGCCACAATTCTGATTTGTTTTTTGTTTTTCTTCTGCATGGTATCGGCACGAGCTTTTCGGGGTTTTTTCAAAATTGCTCCGTGATGTTAGCGTTTTTTGCATATCGTGATTGAGTGAATGTGTGCCTGTTGTTTGCCATCCAATTTTGCGTCATGCATCTTTGTCCACGATTTGCATCGTCGTTTTTTCCGGCTGCTCTTATTGATTTTAACGGCAGTAGCGCGGGTGTCCCTTTCACAACTTCACTCGAGCACATCGCCATTTCTTTATTCAGATCACTTCTCTTGGCATAGTTGTGGACATAAGATTTACTCTCTGCCTTGTTTTCACGTAAACTCGCCAGTTAATGAGACATTCATCATGTTTGAAGCTCCGCAAAAGATTGTTGTAGATAGTGGCAGATAATTTAGTTTTTAGCTTACTCAGTCAATAGAAATAGTGAAACATACAAATCAAGCGTCTTTCTCCTTTTGAAGGTCTCTTTGTCTGCGCCGAAAACCCTAGAAGACCCTCGATGCTTTTGTTTTGCTTCGCGTTTTTATCTCGCAAGTCGATGACCAACGCTTAATTTGTAGAACCAACCACATCTAATTATAAAGGGCGGTTTATCTAATTTTTTCGTCTTGCAATACGAAATATCTGGGCATGTTTATTCGCAAAAGCTGAGTCAAAAACTTTACAGATGTGCTTCAGTTTTGCCATTACCAGTAATTTTGAGATGTCAACTGCTTTATTAAATGAACAGCCCTAATTTTGAAAATTGTAGTAGAAAAGCTTTGTTATTGTCCGTCAAAGACTTCCCGGATGGTTCAGACTTGATCAGGGTCCGGCACAGATCGTATGGACGAGCTGGACTTCATTTTTGGGGCGAAAAAGCAAAAGGGATGTCGTTTTTTTTGGCAAAAGGGGCAAAAATCGCGACGTTTTTTTAATGACGTTTCGTTTTTTAAGGGTTTTTACAGATATGGTTTAGGGTCAAAGGGAATTTCGTAAATTTTGGCAAATTCAGGGACTTCGTTTTCAAAAAGCCTAGATACGGACTCATGCCGGGCCCTGGACTTGATTCATATGCAGAACTAGGTCGCTTACCAAATCTAAATCGACTTGAACTTTATTTCTCACATCCATCTTACCGCAGCTGGGTTCTTCTGCGTTAATGCCACCTTTGACAGCCTTTCATGTAGTTTTTTCCTCTGTGTAAAAAGTTCCTTGAATGTGGAGCGAGATCTTATCTTGGTTCCAGTTCCAAAGCATGCACTAAGCTCTTGAAATTGTCATTTTCATCATGTTTTCGCACATAAACCTCCATATTTATTTTGTTTTGCACCTCTATGTCAAGTCAATAGGACAATACATATTTATTCTGACAAAAAATGTAGGAGCATCTTTACCGCTTTCAGGTAAATGTGTGTAGTCGTGTAATTCGTAAGAGAAAATTGCAAAGTCATTCTTTGCTTGTTTTTCAAATTTTTCTATTTTGAAATTCTGTGGAATCTAGAGCTTTTGCGGTCAGGTCAGTGAACTGACCAATAGCAAAGTGGTTTAAGTGGACATCCGCTTTGCTATTGGTCAAGTTCACTGATTTGACCAATACCAAAGAAAATCAAGTGGATCAACTATAGCGTGTGCCTAATGATGCTCGTCTTTGGATCACGTTCGCTTATCACTTCTTGTCATTCCCATGCTTTTATTATCACTTCCTCATTTTCTAAGTTTTTGATTGCTTTTCCAAGCTTCACTCAATTTTTCATAAACACGAATATATGTATGATCATCCAAGGGCTTTTGCTATCGTGTTAACCTCTCCTGGTTTCTCCTTGTTTTCTCGTCGTTCCCATGGGGACCATTTATTGGCCGTCACGATTGTGTTTGTAAATATGCGAATGAATCCTTCTTTCTTCAAATACTCTACAATTCTCGATCTCTTGTTATCATCGAAAATGAGCTCTTTTTGCTTGTTTCTGCCAGATTGATAGCGTTCCCTCGCGGAATTACAGGGCTGCCAATCATTTTAGTATCGACTGCTTCACTTTTTCTTTCATGATTGTTGGCAGTGATGTTCGCCACGTGTCCTGCGAGCATTTCTTTCTGATACTTTTATTCATTTTCGTTGTGCCCGCATGTTCGCAATATCCTCACATCAAGGTTTCGTCTCTTCTTCGTGCTATTCTGGTTTCCTTTGATGGCAAGTTCGGCTGCCGAGATAATTACCATGCAGGGGTTAATTGCACTGTATCACGACTTGAACTCGCACAGTGCATAATTCTGGCTAGCATGAAGAAGAAATGCTCAAAGAAACACATACCTACTATTTCGTCTATATTCAGGCATGTCTGCGAAGGCTGTTAGCGAGCTTTCGGGTAAAGAGCTACTTTATCGACATTTCGAGTCAAGTGGCTTAATTGATGCTCCCCTTGCTATCCGTTTATCTGCTGGTGATGACTTCGACGCTGTGGTGAAGAAGTCGCAATGGTTTGATAATGCTCAGGTCAGTTTAATCTTATTTCCACTCTTTTATTTGATCTTGATATGGTTCTTGCAGAAAGCTGTCATTAAACCCGATCAGCTGATAAAAAGACGTGGAAAGCATGGATTAGTCAAGTGTGGATCGAAGGACGAAATCAAAAAATGGTTCCAAGAAAAATGTGGGACTAGTGTGAAGGTGATTTTATAGCCATTAAAGCTTCAGCTTTCAAAGGGATTAGACTAATTTTAGTACGTTTTTTTGCTTACATAGTTGATCAGTTCAATATAATTTTCAAAAAATCTTTTGTTATATCGTTTGATGCTTTGCAGCAAATATGTATTTTCATGGTTAAGATCAAGCTTGCACCCAAGCTTACGCTACTGCCGGACGAAGGCGCACGTAAGGACGCGTACGCGGTTTCATTAGCCGAGAGTATGAGGCGCATCTTATATACTCAGACAGTATATATAAAGCTGAATGTCTGTTTGTCTGTATGTCTGTCTGTATGTCTGTCTGTCTGTACGTATGTTCCGAATAGAAAGTTCCATTTCTGAACCGATCCGGACCAAACTTGGCACACATACACTACGGGCCCCGGCGGGTGTCATAGGCTACTTTTCGTCATCGATCGATATCGATTTTATCGATTTTTTTGCTGAGTTCACCTACGGGTTTGGGAGTTGGCACAGGGGGGTAATCGAGCATGGGGATTCCGAATACAATATTGGTGGGGGTGATCAGCATGCTCGATTACACCCCTGTGCCAAATTCCAGCCCCCTAGCTCAAATTTTCAAAAAATCGATAAAATCGATAAAAGTAATGGACGATCTTTAAAACTAATATTGTATTCGTAATCTGCATGCTCGATTACCCCCCTGTGCAAACTCCCAGCCCCGCAGGTCAAACTTTACAAAAAATCGATAAAGTCGATAAAAGTAACAGACGATCCTGAAAACTAATATTGTGTTCGTAATCAGCATGCCCGATTACCCCCCTGTGCAAAATCCCAGCCTCGCATGTCAAAATTTACAAAAAATCGATAAAATCAATAAAAGTAATCGATAATTCTGAAAACTAATATTGTATTCGGAATCCCCATGCTCACTTCCCCCCTGTGCCAACTCCTAGCCCTGTAGGTGAACTCTGCAAAAAAAATCGATAAAAATCGGTAAAATCGACATCGATCGATAACGAAAAGTGGACTGTGACACCCGCCGGGGCCCGAAGTGTATGTGTGCCAAGTTTGGTCCGGATACGGCGGAGCCGCGTAAGCCAGCTAGTTATATATAACATGAAGATATGCGCGCGCTGCATTCGCGTCGCTCAACTAGCAAGCTTTGCGCCTTCGTCCGGCAATAGCCTTTAGCTGTTGTTTCATGCTAACCGTCATAAAATATTAGGTTGAACCGAAAGTTCTGTCGCACCAAATTCAAAAAATCATAACTTCTTTCCCTCACAACGGTTTTGCACAATTCAAATTTTGTCTGAAAGCGTAAAGCATGTAGTTTCCAAAAGCTCCCTGGGGAATTTCCGACTTGCTCAGGTAACAGAGATAAAAATGAAAGAACGAGATCATCCGAAATTCGGAATTTTTAAGCAAGAATTTTAGAAATTCAAAAACAGTGCGATAAAATCCAGAAAAGCCATTATCCTAGGTCCTCTAATATTTTATCACTAACTGAGTCAAGTCTGTGCTGATCGAGCTCTTCTTTCAGAAGTTATGAATTTTTGAAAAAAAATGCCAAAAAATCCATTTCTCAAGAAATTAGGAAATTGATTTTTCGGCATTATTTTTCAAAAAATCATAACTTTTGAAAGAAGGGCTCGATCAGCACAAACTTGGCTCAGATAGTAATCAAATGTAAGAAAAATTAGGATAATGGCTTTTCTAGATTTTATCGCACTGTTTCTGAATTTCTAAAATTCTTGCTTAAAAATTCCGAATTTCGGATGATCTCGTTCTTTCATTTTTATCTCTGCCACCTGAGCATGTCGGAAACTCACCAGGAAGTTTTTGGAAATTACATGCTTTGCGCATTCAGAAGAAATTTGAATTGTTCAAAACTGTTGTGAGGGAAAGAAGTTATGATTTTTTGAAAACGGTGCGACAGAACTTTCGGTTCAACCTAATAGCATTAGTCTAAATTCATAACTGAACCTGCTCACGACGTTTTAGAAATTCTTTTCATTAAAACATGGGGAACTCAGACCAGCGACCATGTTTCTTTTCATCAATCTGGCATATGTTTGTGTCTTAGAGCAGGTATCATTTCTTCATTCAGGTTGGCAAAACGACAGGACGTCTTCACACATTCATAGTGGAGCCATTCTGCGAGCACACCGACGCAGATGAGCTGTACATTGCAATCCTTAGTCAGCGACATAACGATGTTATTATGTTTTATGAGCACGGCGGTGTCGACGTTGGAGACGTCGATCAAAAGGTAAGTGGATTGACAGCGATTATTTTTTGTCATTTTCATTAGTTTATTGTTATTTTCTATCTGGAAATTTCCTTTTAGGCGCGTTCAATAGAAATTCCTGTTTCCTTAAGTGAAAATGAGATGATGCCTACAGCACCTCAATTAGCGGAGCTGATCGGTGATCTTGGCGATCGAACTGCGTTAGTCACTCTTTCCTCTATAAAGCAATGTGGTACTGGGTCTTCATCTAATATTCTTGACTTTCAGCACTGTGAGAGATTTCATCATTTCGATCTATGGTGCCTATAAAACACTCCACTTCACTTATCTTGAAATTAATCCTCTTGGTGGGTAAGGTTCAACTTTTTTTTCGCAATGCTCAATGTAGTGCAGTGTTTCGACTATCTTACGTTGCTTGCACTTTTGAGCTAATCAAAGACATCAGAGTCGTTAGAGTGAGAAACCGGTTTTCTTAATGCTAATGACATCGAATATGCGCTGCTGTAGTGCCCGCAATTTTTTGCATTATAACTTTGGTGATATATAGCCTTGGATCGTAATTCACATATTTCAGTTATAAAAAATGGAAAAGTATATATCCTTGATCTCGCCGCTAAACTGGACGAAACCGCTAACTTTTTGTGCGCGGATAGATGGAAGACAAGGTCGGGTTCTTCTGTCGAATTCCCGGCTCCTTTTGGACGTGACCTTACCAAAGAGGTTGGTCATAGTGTGGAAATTATTATCATTTAGCTTAGCGAGAATAATTTAGGAAGCATACATTGCTGATCTCGACTCCAAAACGGGGGCTTCTTTGAAGTTGACCATCTTGAATAGAAAGGGACGAATATGGACAATGGTTGCCGGTGGTGGAGCCTCAGTTGTATACGCGTAAGTTGTGAATCTTGAGTCTTTTGTAAAAATCTGTAATTTTTTTAGAGATACCGTATGTGACCTCGGAGGTGCAGGTGAATTGGCCAATTACGGTGAATATTCTGGAGATCCATCTGAGACTCAAACGTTTGAGTATGCCAAGACTCTCTTGTCTGTGATGACGGAAGGATCCCCACATCCGCAAGGCAAAGTACTGATCATTGGAGGATCCATCGCAAACTTCACAAATGTCGCAAAAACATTTGGTGTGAGTTCTTCTTATTGTTAAATTTTGATTTATTCCTTTTTCTTTCATTTGCAGTCGTATATATCTCCCCGTTTTAGGGTATTGTTCGCGCTTTCGAGGTTTTCATCGAGCGTTTACATGAACATAAGGTGACCATCTATGTGCGTCGCGGTGGGCCAAACTACCAAGAAGGGCTGCGCAAAATCAAGGAAGCCGGTTGGTTTACCATAAATACGTGTAGACAAAGTTACATTGCTAGTATGTTAAGCGTCAAAACTTGATCTGCCGATACACGTCTTTGGTCCTGAAACTCATATGACATCTATTGTCGGGCCTGCACTTGGAATCAGCGAACTGCCAGCTGTACCTCATGCTCCACAAACTACCGGGCAGTTCTTGCTCAGTCCGGAAAGGAATGTGCGTGACATATCATTGTATATTTGTCCATACTTAGTTGAATATATCTCTATTAGAGTTTATTCAACATGCATATGTATTGTTTTTGAAATTCACACTTTTGTTTCTCGCAGTTCCTTAATGTGTTCTTGCAGACGGCTGGAGCTGTACGAATCCCCGAAGCTGATCCATCGTCTGGTGACGTTGCTGCACAAATGGACAATGACGAAGACGTAAGGTTTAGAGTCGAACAGTTTGCTCAGGCTTGTTGCGAGAAATCGCAATTTTACAGGCGCATAAAGTCTACGACAGTTTGTTCGAGAGGAATACCAAAGCAATTGTATGGGGACAGCAGCAAAAAGCTATCCAGGTATGTTTATGGGAGAATCCTTTTGTAGTTTTCTGATAGCGTCGGTTGAAGCCGTTTGTTATAATCTTTGTCTCTACAGTTTTTATTTTCATTATTTTGCAAATCGAACTTGTGATTGAAATTCAAAAACGCATAGCTGATTGAATGAATATTGTTTATGAGCTGTGAATTGTGCAAAAAAATATTTTCCGAATTCTTTTGTTTAGAGTTTTCTTCAACTAGTCGTTGATTTTAGGGCATGTTAGACTTTGACTATGTTTGTCGTCGTAAGGAGCCGTCTGTCGTGGCATCGACATACCCATTTACTGGCGATAACAAGCAGAAATACTATTTTGGGCAACGAGTAAGAGCATCTGCTCTCAACGGTACAGTATCGTCCTTGAATCTTTTTTTTTGCAGGAAATTCTAATTCCCGCTTACAAATCCATGGCCAAAGCTTTTGCCACCCATCCAGAAGCCAGCGTTATGGTTACATTCGCTTCGCTTCGGTCTGTATATGAGACTGTGCTAGAAGCTCTTCAAGTTCCACAGATACGAGTCATAGCTATCATTGCTGAAGGTGTACCCGAAAATCAGACCAGGAAGTTGATCAAGGTAATTAGTGCGTTATTCGGCCACTTTCCATTATGTTCTCTTTGTAGATGGCTGGCGAGAGAGGGGTCACCTTGATTGGTCCCGCTACAGTGGGAGGAATAAAGCCAGGTTGCTTCAAGATCGGTAACACTGGAGGAATGATGGATAATATCTTATCATCCAAGTTGTATCGTCCAGGAAGGTATGTACCGTAAATGCTTTCGATGGTCAATTCGCTAACAGCTGTGAGCTTTTCAGCGTTGCGTACGTCTCTAGAAGTGGTGGACTGTCGAATGAGCTGAACAACATCATTGGTTCAAATTCTGATGGCGTCTTTGAGGGTATTGCGATTGGAGGTGACCGTTATCCAGGATCCACGTATACCGAGCACATATTGCGTTATCAGAACGACGACAGGTGAGAGAACTAGATTTAGAAGTTTGCATGGATATCAGTGTTTTTTTTTGTTTGAAATAGTTATTTGCGTTATTTTTTACTTTATTATTCTGTAAACACTCGTTGTAGGTAGATTTGCATGGTGTATTTCGGTACATGATCATTATTGTGAACCCTACTTCTTCATGTTGGCTTCGATAACGCATTTTTCATGTGTATATGTATGTTTAGGGTGAAGATGATCGTTCTTCTTGGAGAAGTTGGTGGTATCGAAGAATATAAGATCGTTGATGCATTGAAAGAGGGAATAATCACAAAGCCCCTTGTTGCTTGGTGCATTGGAACATGCGCTGATCAGATCACCTCTGAGGTAAGATTCCATTGTGAACAAGTCATTGAATGAGATGTGAACAAAGGTATAACCGGTAAAATGTCAGGTGCAATTCGGTCATGCTGGCGCTTCAGCTAATGCCCAGCGCGAGACCGCTGTCGCCAAGAACGCAGCTTTGAAAGCGGCTGGAGCCTATGTCCCTCATTCATTCGATGATTTAGGTATGTAGCAATATATTCATCTGTTCTGCATCCAAATAGTACTCCCACTTTTTTATTGCAGGCAAGTTGATCAAGAAGACATTCGACGACTTGGTAGCTAAGGGAGTCGTGAAATTGAAGAAAGAGATTCCTCCTCCAGCTGTACCTATGGATTATGCATGGGCAAGAGTGAGTTTTTCAGGAATTATTTCGCTTCAATTTGCTTTGAAAATCATCTCATTTATGCTTGTCAACATTTCAAGCAATGTTTTTTTTATCATAACATCTTTTACCAACTGGTTTGATGTTTTCGATTGTCTGCAATTTCAGGAGCTTGGGCTCATCAGGAAGCCAGCGTCTTTCATGACTTCAATTTGTGATGAACGAGGCGAAGAACTTCTTTACGCAGGAGTTCCAATCACCAAGGTCCTTCAGCAAGACATAGGGATCGGTGGAGTACTCGGATTGTTGTGGTTCCAGGTAAATTCTTTACTTTTCTATGGAGATTTTGTTGTAAAATGATATTCTATATTCTTTGTTTTCAGAAACGCTTGCCAGATTATGCTAACAAGTTTATTGAAATATGCCTGATGATAACTGCCGACCATGGTCCAGCTGTCTCTGGTGCACATAACACAATAGTGTGCGCAAGAGCTGGCAAAGATCTCATATCTTCTTTGGTTTCTGGTCTTCTTACCATTGTAAGTGGTGAATTGTAGACTTGAAGTTGTGATTACTACAAATCCTTATCACAGGGAGATCGTTTTGGTGGAGCATTGGATGGAGCTGCTCGTCAATTTTCGGAAGCTCTTGACAAAGGGTGGAGTCCGATGCAGTTTGTGAATGAGATGCGAAAACAGGGAAAGCATATTATGGGTATTGGACATCGCGTAAAGTCGGTAAGTTCAGTGCTTTTAAATTTAGTCCCGTCTGTTCCTCAACTAATGATTGCTAACAGATAAACAATCCCGACAAGCGAGTAGAGATTTTGAAAAGTTTTGCACTAGACCGTAACCAGTTCAAGCAGGAGACACCTCTTCTTGACTATGCTTTGCTGGTAGAGAAGATCACAACTGCAAAGGTGAGATTTCTCAAATGTACGAATTCTTTTAAGTGCTCATTGCCGTTCTTGTAGAAGCCTAATCTTATCCTGAATGTCGATGGAGCCATTGGAATTATCTTTGTGGATATTTTGCGTCACTCTGGAATGTTCACACCTGCAGAAGCACAAGAGACCATCGAAATCGGGGCCCTCAACGGACTATTTGTGCTTGGTCGCAGTCTTGGCTTCATCGGTAAGTTTATGCGAACTTTTTTTATAAGGTCTCATTTACATCTAGTGAAAGTGCAATGTCTAGGTCATTACCTGGATCAGCGTCGTTTGAAGCAAGGACTGTACCGTCATCCTTGGGATGATATCTCATACATTATGCCTGAACGAGACTTGGTCAGTCAGAAGTTTGGAGAGGTTTGATCTTGTTGACTGCCATTTGATAGTTTGATGGTATCAATTTCAGTGAAAGCTCAATGTACATGTGGGAAAACTGAATTCTTTCATGCATCTCATAGTAATTTATTGTTTTATCCGCATTTATGAAAGAGTTGTTAGTCATTTATTTACCAAATTCTCGTGATGTACATAACAGGTTAGCGTCAGAGTTGTCATCTCTGTTGTTGAAGTTAAATATAAATGTTGCAATATTTTATGTGTGTAGTACACGTAATGATAAGTAATGTTGAGTAATGTTGAATTTGATGGAACAGTTAATACTAATGGTCACTGCAGTAGTTTAGAAATGCTCAATGTGATTATGTGCTCGAAAAGTGAGCAAAAGGCAACATTGGGATGTCGTCTTATTTGTTGAAGGCAGTGGCAAGCTTGGTCATGAGGTCCTCGACGAGATCGCCACCCAAATCCAAGGTTATGGAGATGCTGATGTAGTTTAGGGCTTTAATGTTTGCGAGAGTCGGTGACTTTGCGGCCATTGGACGCGCATTGAACTTCCTCAGCTTTCTCGTTTCAAACGCCTTTCCACTAACAGATGTTCGCTTCCAATCACCTGGAACAATTCTGGAAACTACAGGGTCTAATTTGAGGCCTTGTGGCATCCTGCGTGTGCAATGGCCACAAACTTACCGACCCTCGCGATCGCGAAGAGCCCTATACAATAGCGAGGCCCCCTAATTTATAGTTGGCATAGTTGTAGTTGTAGTTCATAGTTGTACGAGCTCGAAACTGAACCCAGTAGCCCATGAAATTATCGGAAATCTGCCTCTCATTGTGATAAACATATTTATGACATTTCTGAGTATTTTGGAGTTCAGTTTGGGGCTCGCAACAAAATTGATGGGAGTAGCCAGATTTTGGGCGATTTTCGCTTCGGACTCAAATGTTGTACAAAATTCGAAAAAATCAAGATCATGTTTGATTGATAGAATTGCTGCAATGTACCTATTGGTTCTCTTTTCTGCTCTACTCATTCTAAAGGGGAAAAGCTAAAATACAGTGCATTTCCGGACACCACTTGCACATCACCACTGTTTCGTCGAAAGGGGTAGAACAAGAGCAAAGTAGGCACTGGCATTATTGCACGAGATGCGAATTATATACAGAGTGTCCCAAAAAGATGTGCACACTGTTTGATCGTTAATAACTCTCTTGCTTTCATGACTTTTGCCAAGCTTGAGGTACCATTCTGTAGAGCGAGAATAAACTTAGACTTACAGTATAGAGCGAATCACCAATCGCTCTTTATAACTGTAGGATCACGGTATGAACTTTCAGCATACAGCGTCACTGTGGAATAACCTTTTGATGAAATAATTTCAAAAAAATCTAAAAATTTGTTTAGCAAGATTTTCAGGCGTGCTAAATTCACCACATAACTTTCCACCAGTTTTTCGAGCTTTCTTGATGGCGTATTCACATTTCTGGCAAACATTTGAAAATCAGTTGTTACCCTAAATCTGAAACTCATGAAAGAAACAGTGTACTGACGTGCAATTTTCACATTTAGAATCAGCGACTTCGATTACCCAGTTCAAAAGTTTGTGGCTTGTTTGACTTTCTTTCTGAGGCAAAATACCGTTTCAATGGCTTGAAATCCTCCTTAAAATTCCTACCGTAATCCTACAGTAATGAAGAGCGGTTGATAAGTAGCTCCATACTTTAAATCTGAGTTAAACCTCGCTCTAAAAACTGGTACCTCAAGCTAGGCAAAAGACATGAAAGCAAGGGAGTGATAAAAAACCAAACAGTGTGCACATCTTCTTGGGACACTCTGTAGAATCTGAATTGAACTGAAGCATGACCAAATAGGACATACATCGTAGGCCAGAGTGGACTACAATGAGCCGGTTTCGTAAGAAGTTTCAGAAATCGGAAGGAGTTTTCGATAAATTCCTTTTCTGACCCCGTGTCCTAGGCATAATGAATTTTTATAGCGACAGAGACCCATCATGTTCCTGCATAGACGCTGATACCCTCAATGTAGCTCAATGGCCAGATATGGCAATCAACAGGTCGAAGAATGGTGGATTAGTGCAGGCGCAAGCAAATCCGACGGGAGAACTGTTGATTTGCCACATGTTGTTCATGCTCACTGTTTGAGTTTTGAGTCATGATTTTTCACTTTTGGGAATTTGGCGTTTGTAAAGACCAGTGTTATCTACTTTGTGTAGTTTTTTTTTGTAGGGTAGTAGTCTTTCTTTTGATCCCCTCTTAAAGGCAGTGTCCGGGCAAAAAGTCGATTTTGAGATTTTGTGCTTACCCGGGCCTATTCTCTATGCTGCATCCGAATATCCACATTGGAAAGCGCGAAAACGGCGACAAAAGGCTCTAACGCAGGAGTGAAATCAAAAGTGGGCGGGGTCTTCCCTAGGGTGATTTCACGGTCCCAGCTTTCGGAGCGATTTTTTCAATCCCACTAACCGCCCTAACATCTCAACGGACCAAGTGCGAATGCATGATCTGAAGTGGGAAGCGAAAAGATCGGTCCGGGAGCTGGGACCGTGAATTCACCCTGGGGAAGACCCCGCCCACTTTTGACTTCCCTCCTGCGTTAGAGCCTTTTTTCGCCGTTTGCGCGCTTTCCAGTGTGGATTTTCGGATTCAGCGTAGCGAATAGGCCCGGGTAAGCACAAAATCGAGTTTTTGCCCGGACACTGCCTTTAAGCCAGCCTATTTACGAATAAATTTTGAGCCTTTTACAGTGAAGGAGGAACAGTGATATCTAGATGCATTTTCTCAATACGGTTCAAAGACAAATGATCTGGACCGATCATCATATCAACCCATGTACTGCGTTGTAACTCAGAATTAGTGTATTTGTTGTCATACACGTTTTTTTATCATAGTGAAAAGTGAGTTAATTTCAATCATTCTCAATTTTCTCATTATCATTGGAGAGGGCCTCTTCTCTTCAGAATGCATTTTTCAACTCCATCCCATTTCTATAGCCAATCGTATTTCAAACGAAATTTTTGCTTTTGCGGCACTATAAGATCGTCTCATCATTTTAGGTCGTCCCACCGAAACGTATGTTTTCAATTTTCTAGTGAACTCGACAAGATGGCTTTTAGAAAAAAAAAGAATTTGGTTCATGTGAAGTGCAGCCAAAATCCAAGAAAAATGCTCGATAATCCTAAAGCTCCAACTCTTTAAATTCTCACACTCATTCTCGCATATAGTGTCCACTCTATAGAGACATTTATACACAGTTGCTGTATAATACAAAATTACCCAAAAGCCGAAAATGTCAATTCTTTAGTTTAATGCAAAACTTAGAGCTGTGAGACCTGTAAGAATCAAACAAAGTTTGATTCACTGGACTCGCAGAGCATCCTTTTTGAGATCTAATGATATCCCAAGACTCTCAAGACCACCGAAAAAGGCAAACAACGAATGTGATCATCTGCACCGACAGAAATCATGGGATAACCTAATTCTGAATGCATTCGTTTTGCTCATCCTGAGAATAAAATACAGAATTTTTTCTAGTGTGATAATGACAGTCGTTTTCAGCGAGGAAATGCGGTGGCCATTGAATGTGGAAAATACATTAAGTTCCAAATATTCAATTGTTATTCAAGCCTAATAAATGATGTTTAATTTCAAGTCACATCGACTGGCAAATCGTATTTTGATAGTGTAAATATATTACTATTATTTTTGACCTAAATAACATTGATTAGTTGGGTGCAAAACATTTATCAGGGGTAATTAAGAGCCACAGAATTCAAAGTGGTCTATATTTATAGAAGTGACTTGTGCCTGTGATGGTCACATGATTTTTGTTGTTATAAAGAATCGAGCAAATTCATAGTCATCCTTTGAAAACTTCCTCCAAAGGCTTTCGATTCAGCTATGTTGCTAACAAGCTTTTTTCTGAAATTAATTTCGGTTTTTATTTGGTTGCTATGACACCGCAACCAGCCAAACCCCAAGAACGCATGAGGGGTACTCTTTGATAGAGGAAAGCAAGCTCTATCAAGTGGTATTGATGCTTCCGCGCCAAGGTTTTTCCACGTGGAATCAAAAATCAAATTTCAAAGAGTTCTGAATGCCCAAAAATGGAAAAAAATCGGGGTCTTTGTCCAAACACCTTCAAGAGACATTCCACTCGCACACATCTATACCATCGATATTAGACATTCATATGTTATACAGAAATCAAATTCCATGTCTTTCTCAAAGCAATGCTGGGCTGTTTTTAAGTAATTCTATAATATTACACAAGCCTATAGCATATAACACTGTAAATTTCTAGCCTTTTTAGGAGACCCTAGTTTTCGAGAAATATCACATTCAGCTTCTCTCTTCTGGGTTTTTCTGCGGAAATCGAAATTTCTTGAAAACCAGCGCTTGAAAAAGACTAAATATTTACAGTCGTGATACGAAAGCTTGTTACATAGAATTACCTATGTCGGAACGGCCCAGAGTCGAAGAGAAATTTTTCGATTTTCCAATTTTTAGTCAAAGAAAAATAGAGCAATATATCATGTTGAACCGGAAGTTCTGCCGCTTTAATTTTGAAAAATTCGTAAGCGTTCCCTGTCAAAGCATTTGAGGTTCTTCCCGAAAATCGTGACGACGGATTTGACTGCCGGCTTTGCGTCCACAGGAGCATAACACCCTGTTACAAAAAGGCATCTCCTCAACGCTCAGCTCAGTCGCTTCCAATGTCCCAAGTACTATCATACCCAGGCAGAAAAATCAGTCGAGTAGTGATTAAAACCAAGAAAATGCGGTTGCCGAAAGGTGCTCGTCGCGCGGTCGCGCCATCGTCATGATTTTTCGAATGCCCTATATTTATGAAAGTTACCTTTAAATAGAAAAATTAGTCTACATTCTAATAACTACTTTAAGGCTCTTCGACGACATGAAGCTCCGGCGATAACAATTCCAGTAAGAAGCCCACTCAAACTTTCTATTTTCGAAAATAAATCGTTAAAAATCTGAAACAAGCTGCAGAAATATTAGAAAACATGCCCATTACAGTCTACGTGAGCTACACTTTTTAAGAGTGCCAAATTTGTGTTTGTCGAGATTTACGTTTTTCGTAAAAAATGCTAAAAGTGGCAAAAGTGGCGTATTTGGCATTTTTCTGCATTTTTCACAAAAACCATAACTTTTCAACCATAACCATATAAAAGCTCAATCAGAACAAATTTGGTACTGTTAGAAAGAGCAGCTCACAGAAACTGTAACAGACATGTTTTCTAATATTTCTGCAGCGTTTCAGATTTTTAACGATTTATTTTCGAAAATCGCAAATCGGAGCGGTTCTCCTACTCGAATTTCTACTGCCCTTGCCCTCAAAGAACCGCGAAGATGTTATTAGAAAGTAGATGAATTTTACTATCGATGGAACTTTTTGCAGTTCAATGCGTTCACGTAAAGAGCAGTAACGAATTCTTCAAAATCAAAGCGACAGTACTTTTCGGTTCAACCTAGTATACGTCTCATGTCGATAGTATAGATGTGCGCGAGTGGCAGACCCGTACAAAGTTTCTAGAAGTTTTAACTTTGCGTAGAACCATCCTGGCGTGGAAATATGTTCTAGTATGTGTCAAAACTAGCATTCTCTGTTAAGACTGATTACGAAATTGGTATAGCTATGCTATATTGTCCTTTTTAAGCGACGCCTTTCACACAGGTACTCTTCTTCATCAGACAGAGCTGAAGGTGGATTGATTTTTGTAATGTGGACTAAAACAGAAGCATTCGGAATTATTTAAGAGCTTTTTTTCCGAAGAAAACGAAAAGAAAACGGCCATAGGGCATCCGTTTGTTCGGCACTGTGCAACTAGCGACTATCCGTGCTTGCTCCATATATGAGAACGGTTGTTTCATTGCACTGCTGCCTTTCTGGTTAGTGATTCATGGTGCTGTTGACCTTTCAGTGATCTCTAATGCAAAGGATAATCCCCATTTCGTTAGCTCTGCTCATACTAGAAACGAGTTTGAATGTTGGATTTTCTCTACAAAACTCATATTCAGGCATGTATAAGGGTGTTGTATGTATGATACGTTTACCCAAATCGGATGCTCTTTGTGAATGACGACTGGAGAGCTTTTAATACGATTAAGCAATGAGAGTTAATTACACGATTTCAGTAATCCGTATGTTTAAAACAGCGAAAACGATTCATTTTCAACGAATCGTTTATGACTCTCTTGTTCCCGTGCATACACCAGATATTCGTCCATACGCCTGAATTCACTTTTCTCATGCTTGTCTCATTGAAGTGTATCGGATGCAAATCCTTATTTAGATGCGCCTTCGCGCAGAGATATTGCTGGCACTAGCTATGCCATTGGTATTGCTAGCTCAGGATGCTGTGATTACACCACCTACTGAGGTAAAACGTTAACAATAATTTTCTATCTGTTTTGATTTGCTGAAGAAGTATCATAAAACAAATTGTTGATAAGCCTGCTTCCACAGTGACACAAAACGCGTATATTCAGTTAGTATGAGGCTGTCTCAAAAGTTTTGTTGATTCCTCTCACGACTATAAAAACTCTTACATTAAACAGCTAAATGTGTTTAAAATGCTTTCGATGCAGTATTTCCTTTTTCTTCTGGTGATTACATTCTTCAACCACAATCTTCTGGACGCTTCTTGGTAACAGACAGCACCCGCTATTTTTATCCGATCAAACTTCGTCGATTCAAGTGTTTTATTCCAGAGTTTCGAAAAAGATTAGGTATGATACAAATAAAGCATATCTCGGACTAGACGACAATGCTTTTAGCGCTTTCTGTTCCGTTGTTTTATTTTATTTTATTTTATTTTATTTTATTTTATTTTACTAATACACTCAAGGTGCACCGAAGAACAGAAAATTAAACTCTAACACGTCGAACAATAACATATAATACCAGCTTGTCCATGGCTTCAGCGAGATAAACGATGGACGTATAGGTAATGCACTAACAGGCCCATTAAGATATAGCGAAATCTATTCCGAATGTCTGATGAGTGCGATTATCGCTTGAGAAATAAAGAATGACTGGAGAATCTTGCATCCTCCAAATTAATTTTGAAAACACTTTTTGAGTGCCAGCGAGCTTACGGACGGGAACCAGCTGACAGACCCCAGATGAATATACGTTTTGGAGGATAGCAAGACTCTAAGTTGAAGTACAGTTAAGGCCTGCCAGTAAGGCATAAAAGTAAGGTACGAAAGTGAACCCGGGCACTTAGGTGTGAGTAATGGGAAGGCGATACGAAGTGGAATTTTGTATTCTGGCCGGTGAGGCAAGCTGGTATGATCATTAGTGAAGCAGGATAAAAGTTACTACAGAGAACAAACAAAACAGGTAGCTGGCAATATAACTCAAAGTTTTGATTTGCCTATCCAAAAATGAAGCGAAATGCATTTGTTAATTAGACTGGGTTGAAGACTTGACGAGGTATGGAGGGCTTGCGAGGTGTGGGCGACTTGACGAAGTAGTATATGACTTGGCCAGGAGCGAGCGACTTGACAAGGTACCAACGACTTAGGAAGGAGTAGGCGACCTGACGAGATATGGCGACTCAACAAATTGGGCGACGTGACCAGGTATGGAAGACTTGACTAGGCAACGGCTTGGCGAGGCATGGAGGGTGATTTGGAACAATGGTGGATGGCGCACGTACTCGTAACATCTAAAAACCATGGATATCGAATAGTCGTAACACTATTTTGTAATCTTCTTTTGAATATTTTGGAGTTTTCACTGGAAGCGATGTAATCCAGTAGAACAGAAAACCATCTGGTTGTTAGACAAATAAAAGAGTTGAAAGTCATCAAAAATCGTTTTTTTTTTCAATTTGCGATAGTATAGACCAAACCTACCTGATCGTGCGCTGCACGGTCTGAATATCCAAAACTTGCTAGCTTTGAGTCTTGTTTCTAAGCGCAGAATTCGAAAACGAAAGGAAGATCATTAAGAACGCGTCCATTCAATAGGCTGTGCAGGTTCAGTTTATTTAACCGCAACCGATGAGAGAGTAAAGCTTGTGAATAATTCGGATTAGGAAAACATCTATGCAATAATATTCTGGTGAAGGTCTTTTGGATTTTTTCAACTGTTTCGATTTTCCTTTTGCAAATGGACTCCAAATAGGCAAGGCATATTCGAGATGCGGCAAGACATAGCTTTTGTAGAGCCTCAAAAAACCTCAGGATCATTGCTATGTATGCCTCGAAGAATAGTAAAAAGAGTTGCGGAAGACTTTTTGATGACAAGATCGTTATGAGATTTGAATGAAAGAGAGGCGTCAATTATGACACCATCACGCATAGGGTTAGCAAATCTAAGACCACACCGTCGCAGGTGTAGGTACGGCAGGGTGAATCCCCAAGCTGCATAACAGTAGCCTTTGAAGCATTCAGAGGGATGTCCCATTCCTTGGACCATAGGAGTTAGAAGCATAAAAAAATTATTTCCTTGTATCGTATTCTAATAAAGACGGGGCAAAAGCAGCAAAAACACTAATGCAATCGAAGGTTTTGCGAGTTAAAGCTTGATTGCTAACAAATATAATTTTGCAAGTCAGTCAGAAACTAGTCACAAAGTGGAGCCTTTTTCGAAATACAGCTATTACATACATTAAAATTTGATTTATAGAACCTAAAATGAGTATGATGAAGCCAAAGACTTACACTAAATAACAACTGCCACCGTTTTCTTGAGACATTGAAGAAAAATTCATCAAAAGTTCTATGAATTTGGCATCACTGTTGAACTCTTCGAAAAGCATGGCGACAACATAAAACTGCATAGATCAGAAAAGAAATTTAGCTGTCTATCTATGTCACGTACGCATTAGTACACAGCAATTCCGTAGTTTATTAGATACGATCTGTAGCATTTCAGAAGTGGCAGTACCCAAGACAATGGCAAAATGTACTTTTTCTAGTTATTTTGGTTTTAGAGATTGCTGATGGGGCCTGGAGGAGAGATTCTCGCTAATAACAGCGATCACTCGAGTGACTGCAGGAGACTGTAACTCCACTGGCGTAAATTGGCTGATCGCCTCGGGCAGCCAATCTCGACTCATTTGGAGGGAATTGCTCGGCCCTTCCAGCAGTCCTCAAGGAAAACACCATGAAAAGCAGTTTTTTTTTGACTTCAAGCACAGTCCTGGGCTCATCGCATCTAGAAGGCCAAAGAGGTTTGAAAAGCTCGCAATTGCAAATTCCTCGAGTCACCGCCTTTAAAACGCTAGAAGGGGACCCTAGTTCACGGGGATAAATTGTTGCCTCTCCACTACACAACATATAAGGGAAAGCGGCACTTTGCCCACAAGTCTAGATGGCTACACTTTAGATTCCTCATTAATATCTCATGCTTTCAGACCACACTCCTTGTTACCACTACGTCAGCTTTACCGACAATCACATCAACGGCACCTATTGCTGCTTTATGTAGTGAGGTGAGCCTTGCTAGTTTCTTTTGCATGTTTTCCTAAAAAAGAAAAACTAGCAGAATCAAAACCTTCCAACCACTCAGCATCATGTGCACTTCATCGAGACTCAAATTGCAGAGCGATGCTTCTTGGTTGGCCTGGTCAGAATGGTCAAACTGCTCAGATGACTGCGGCTCCTGCGGAGTGCATATGCGCACTAGAACATGCCTGACTACCGTCGCAGGATGTGGGTGCGAAGGGTGAGATAGAATCTTCATTTCTCAATAGGTACGAGTTGTTGCTATTTCTGCATGCATTTGCCTTTAGACAATCAACAACTATCGAATATTGCAATCTGGAAATATGCCGTTACCCAAGGTCTACCTGTTGCTACAATTTGAAGGTATGTTTGGCATGACTGCAACCTTTATCACCAGCAAAAAATCACATGTACACTATCAACATGCTTTTGATAGAATGCATGTTTTTTTCATTGGACTCTGATTTAAATATCAGCAATTTTGTAACCTTTAACAACAGGCTTGGCACCCGGAAGAAGGGGCTTTATGACCTAAATTAGGCTCGCGTGCTTTCCGATCACTACTTAGCCTCAATTAGGTTACGAATCCCGCCTTTCAGTCGCCAAGCCAGTTAAATCAAAAGGTACGTAATAACATCCTGTCCCCAATGTCACGGATTGGGCCTCCCAGCTCCCAACGTCAGTGGTATTGTGGCTCTCCTGTATCGGCGGTAGGAGCCAGAGATCCCATCCGGGAAAAGGTGTAACGTAGAACAGTGAGACGAGTGGTGGTATTATCTGTGAGAATGCGTATTCCGCCTGCCACATAAACATAGGGGCCCTTGCCACCAGCCTGCTTAGCGATTACTTGACATCTGCGACTCGACATATACTCCCAACTATCGACAATTGGAGCTTGTACTTATAACCGAGGCAGTACCGGCTAGCCTTCTTACCGTTATATCAAACTACTGATTTTAAGATACACATGAACACTAATAACACAAGATATCCCCGGAGCCACAGCCGAGCTGTGGCTCACCGCATCCATACAAGACACACATGTAAATGCCTATCATTTATCCGCAACAATTCCCTAAACTCAAACACAAGGGTGGAGCACAACCAGCCAGATGTTAAATGTTAAACCTAGGGGGCGGCAATATCGGAACCCCCCCCCCCGTATCGGTATCGCCTTCATGTGCCAGACGCGAGCGCTCACGGGGTTACCCCGTCTGTGGGGTTGCCTCTCCTCCATGGCGTGTTGAATGTAGATGAACGCCTGAGTTGGGGACGGCGCTGCATCGATCGTCTTGAGTGAAGGCGAAACTGGAGCACAACCGCTCACCAGGTAACGCCATTGATGACTGATTTGAAAGCTGCTGCAGATAGCGGTGGGGAGGCGGGAGCAGCGCAAGGACAGCGTTTTGGGACCCGTTTACAGCGCGGCGGCGGCGATCGCCCGTCGCCAGACAAACAAGTTACCACGCGTCAAATCGATACGTATCAAACGTGTAGTCGCCAATATTGGCGATCGCCAATTCCGCTACAAAAATCGCCGGTTTTACACGTATTTGATGCATATCGATCGCAGCCATGCTATACTCCTCGGGGAGTATAGCGCCTGCCTAACAAGGAAACGATACTCAATGTCCGTGGCTTGAGACGAGATGTGTAACATTACACTCACCTTCGGACGCTGATTCCGAATCTGACTTCCGTTTCTGCTAATCGTTTCTCTGAAAGAAGTTATGGAGAAATTTCGACCTAAGTTTGGCCGCTTAAGGGAAATATGGTCATTGGAACGGCCTCTACCGCGACCACGTTCTGGTCTAATGGTTAGTGCGATAGCCTCATAAGTTGATGCAGATGTAGGTTCAAATCCTTCGTGTTTTTACTTTTGCATTGCCTCATTTAAGCTTGTTCGAGAAAATTGACTCGAGTTATGACCACTGGTTGCATTTTAGCGCAGACAGTAGTCATTTTTTCCAATTCCACACTTTTTGAAGAGTAAGGGCGTTCACTTAGCTTGAGGATGCAAAAGAAGGTTGATTGAGGCAACGCAAAACTGAGGAACACAAAAGGAGTCGAACCTAAACCTGCATCAACTCATGGAGCTATCGCATTAACACATTGACGACCGCTTGACACACATGGTGTGTCAAGGCTTGACACACCATGACTCCCATTGGAATGGCTACTAATTTGTTTCAAACCAACTCTGGAAGTTTTCTTTTATGCTGAATCTAGATACAAACTCTACTGTTTTTGCCAGCATTCCAGCGCTAGTGTAGGTGTAATGTAGATGGAATTGTGCGTGATTTTATCTGAAAATTTTTGGCTGTCCGAGAAAGGCTTTGGTCGTCAATGTGTTAACCACAAGGCCACAGCGCACCTACGGCGTTGGCGGTCCGACAGTATTTCACTGGGCAGCCAAAATCCGCGCGATCCATGATAACACCTTTGAAGCGATTAGCAGAAACGAAAGTAAGATTCGGAAACAGCGTTCCAAGACGAGTGTAATGGTAAACATCTCATCTCTAAAGGCCACGGACACCGAGTATCGTTCCCTTGTAAGATAAAGCTTAATCTTCTTCAAAATAGGAGCAAGTATTGCCGGCGTTAAATGAATACTTCGAAAGCAGCAGGCCAAACGTAACTCGGCCAAGGACTAGAGAAAGCTTTTCTAGAGCAATTTTTTTTTCGAAAACAGTCCTTGTAATGACATTGTTCATTTTGATACAGGTTTCTTGATGTGGATGTCACAGTTTTAGTGAAATCAGTATTCGTCAAAAATCTGATGCACAGTTCTCCAAATTTATTGAGAGATTTTTTTTGAAACAGCCACTCATCAATGGCGCTGTATGCTAGAAGTTCCTAGCGTAGACATACAGTAATGAAGAAATATCGGTAATTCGTTTTAAATCGTAAACAATATAGTTTTTGAAGGACGCGAAAGCCTCTAGCATAGTCTTTATTAGAGACTAGTTGACTACCCGGCTCCGCCCGGCCCTGTCATTATTATATTCGTAATCAGCATGCTCGATTACCCCCCTGCGCCAACTCCCAGCCCCGTAGCTCAAATTTTGCAAAAAATCGATGAAATCGATATTGATCGATGACGAAAAGTAGCCTATGACACCCGCCGGGGCCCGAAGTGTATGTGTGCCAAGTTTGGTCCGGATCGGTTCAGAAATGGAATTTTCTATTCGGAACATACGTACAGACAGACAGACAGACAAACAGACATTCACCTTTATACATAAGATAAACTTATACATGTCTGGGACGCCCTGTATATCAACTTCATCGAAATTAGAAATTAGAGGAAGACAACTCTTCTCGTTTGAATTTTTCAGATATGATTACCGTAATAGCCATCCATATCGTTTGCAGGTCACATCTTACAATGGTCGATTTGCTTGTCTTCAGAACAGCACATTCAATCGCGATTCTAATTGAGAAGGAGAGCAGAGAAGGAGTGATACGCCTTGTCACCAGAAAAAGAAGATCTTGTACGTACTCGTAATTCCTGCAGCTTTATCTCTATTTTGATCAGTGACTATTTTCGAGCAGATTTTCCTTTCTTGATGCCACTAGTTCTTGTGCAACATTGAGCCGAATAAACAGCTACTGCACCAAGCATATCTAACTAAACACCTTCTAGTGGTAAAATTGTTGATTTTTGTTTGGCCTATCTGGACTCCCGCAACGTTCAGTCCCGATAATAGAACAACAACGCTTATGGAGTGTTTGTGGCTCACTTTGGCACTTCAGCAAAGGAGCTTTTCATCTTTTCCTTTTCAAAGAAAAACAAGAAACAGGTTCTAGCTCCGCGACTTCTACGTTCGCTTGCTTTTTTTGAAAGTGACCTTGATGGTCATTGTCGCCCTTTTCCCCAAACTGCTGTTTTTTTAACTTGAGGAAGCGTCCGCCATGGCGGTGTTCTAGGTTGCTTATCGCCCAAGGAGCAGCAGTTAGGAGTGGGCATAAGAGTTTCATAGTGTTTCATAGTTTCATAGTTTCACTGACCACACTGACAGCACTGTGAGCATTTTATATTGTGACAAGAAGTGCAAGAGGGTAAAAAAAGGCACGAGTGCTGAACAACTACTGCAAAAATACTGCAGTTCTGCTCAGGTCAACAGCATAAATGAACACAGCAGATCTGGTAGAGAAGGAAACCGAGCAGTTGGCAAAGTATACATATTCAAGAAAACTTCAAACAAGGAGAGCTCATAGGCTGCAAAAACACGAGAGTTAGTACCAAGATAGGCTTGATGAAGAGCATACAATGCTAAAAATTAGTTGGAATCATCGAAATCAAATATTATGATCTTTCAAGTTTATTTTGCTATGTTTTCACGGTATGCTGACATTGATCTTTCACAATCAAGCTGCAGCACTACACGCTGCGGTAACCAGTGGAAGATATTCAAAAACAAAAGATTTGCAGAAATAAAAATTTTCTTCAGCATTCTGTGGGTATACTGCTGATATGCTTGATAGCCATGGCAACCATTGGTCATGTTTAAAATTTCTTATCAAACTTTGGACCGAATCGAATAATTATTCGACTGTTCGAATAATTCATTCGAATGCGAATATTTGAAAATTCTAATTTTCGAAAATCTGAGAACTCGAGTAAATTCGATAGGCGCATATTCTAAAATTTTGATTTTAGAATACTATTTGATATTCGAATATTTGAAAAGGAATATTATTTGATATTCGAATATTTGAAAAGAACTTCGAACTTTGTAAAGTACACTCAGTATGTGCCACAACGATTGCCTAAAAAAGCCTTAGTCTGTGTTTTGTAAACACATTCAGCATCTTGCTTTACTTTTGCTATCAATACCCTCATTGCCATATGAGTCGAAGTCTAACCGTGCAAAAGAGAAAATCTTCAAACTGATCCTTTCGTGGACGCTCGGAAATTTTGAGAGATAAGACCGGCAGCCTAAGTACAAAAAAGAATAGAGCGCGCAGGAAGAGCGATTTCAGACAGCATACAAAGTTGCTCACAAGAAGGTCACAAGCAGATGAACGGTTTTTATGAAAATGCACTTACAAACCCCTACTCATTGCCGGGGACTCTTATAAAACACCTCTTTACTTGTCACCTTGGTTAAAGACATATGCAAGTGCAGAGACAAGCTCGTAGACAAAATTAGCGTTTAAAGCGAAGCTTTTGTTAAGTAATTGATACATCCAGCTTTGAGGATTCCTGCTGAAGCTGATAACAGTCAAAGATTTCCTCTACTCCTGCACATTCGTCGCCTTGATTGTTTTCCTTTTTTTAGTCCCATCCAACTTTACTCAGACAATTGCATCGGAAAGGTCGCGGCCTCAAAGCGTGTTACATGGCGCGCCGCGGCCCTTGAAATTTCAGCCGCGCACGCCGCGGCCCTTGAAATTTCACCCGCGCACGCCGCGGCCCATGTTCATTTCGCCGGGAACGCCGCCGCCAAAGTTGAAATTGGGAAGACATTATCGGGGGAGTGCGGCCCGGCCCAGTTGCTCACCTCAGCCGGTGAGCCGCGGGCCTTATCGAAGGCCGCACTTCACACGCTGTAGATTAAGGCGCAACCTGCGTGAGGTACGCCGCAGCGATGGGGGTACCCTAAGTGTTTGTGAGGCTGGGTAGTCGCTTATCGGGTTTGGTTCTGTCTGACAGTTTGAGTTTCTATAATGAAACAAACTTCAGCAGTTGGATGAGTATACGAACTTAACGTTCGTATCGTTCTCTGAGCTGCGGAATGGATCGAAGGAACAACAACATTATTTGCAGCTTATCAGTAGTTTCACAGACCCGAGGACTTTTGTTTATAATTCCGATGTTTCAATATATAAGTCGATAATGAGACACAGCGACCATAATGCGCGTGTATGAGACATTTCTTTTCTTGTTTTATTGTTTCACTTTTCTTCTTTCCTTTTCTTGCTTTATTATTTTACTTTTTCCTCTCGCCTTATTCCCGTTGTGTCTCTTATTGGTTTAATACTTCCTCCTTTCCTCAGATCACAGCCTTTTGAATATAGCACACAGTCACAGTCCCTAAGGCCCCGGACAGACTTCACGCGATTTGATCGTCGCGACTGAATCGCGACGAGACAACTGTTACAACATCATTCCATGCCGATCAACTTGCATTTCAGTTGTGATACTTTTCCAGCCCGAAATTTTTGAATGTGAAATGAAAATGAATGGAAAATTCGGCGATTGAGTCGCGACGATCAAATCGCGTGAAGTCTGTCCGGGGCCTAAAACACGTATTATAGCATTTTACTCATTTTCTTGATTATCACAGTCATATTATTTGTCGTTTGTCTGCTTTACTTAGATTGTCACAGTATTTGATTTCCTTCTCGCATTTTTTATAGTCATCATTGGGTTCGATTCTTTCATCACAGTTCCTTTTGCTTGCGAACATCACATCCCTTTGAGCTAGTTAGGTTCTCTAGTTCCCTTAGGATTAGTTATTTATTTGTGTTAAGTTTCGTTGATTTAGTTGTTGCTTAGTTATTGTTAATAAAGTTTAATTACCCAAGTTTGAGGTTGCTCACTGTGCGTGCGTTGGTGTAAGTCCCGCGTGGCAGCAATCTGTTCACAGCCCCGAAAAGTAATCAAGTGCAATTCAAGTGGTGCATCGACTAAACACAGGTACGATTATTGCGCACACTAACGCCTCTACTAACACGCACGATTTCACAGTTCCTACTTACAAGAGTTCGTATACTAACTCACAGCAACCTCGGACACAGATACTAACATAGAGGGTAATCCACAGTATGACTAGCACGGTCAGGTCTCATAAGGGGTTGGTAACCAAAAAGAACCAAATCGTCCTGGCATGGCTAGAGGAATCATCACAGTTTCTTCAAACTGCGCAGCAGACGAACACGCAGCACGAACACAGCAAGGAGCTGGCGCTAGCTGTGTCAATGTGCGACGAGTATCCACAGCTTCTAGAAGTCTCATTGACCAAACTCACAGAAGCTTTCGATAAGCTCGAAGATACCACGGATGAAGATGAAGACAGAATAGACAAGTACATAGAGACTGTAGGGGAAACCATTATCAGGCTGCATGCGCACAGGTCAAATCTCAAGAAAACGCTGCAAGAGGACAACACAGGAAGTATGCACAGAACAAGTGGGCCTAACGACCAAAGTTCGGTCGTAGCCAACAAGCTTCTTGTAATCCCTATCCCAACCTTCACAGGAAAGAAGTGGGAATGGGATAATTTTTGGGCTTTATACAAAGCCAACGTCCATGATCAAGACCTGTCACAGCTGCAGAAATTCAATTATTTGCTGACGTCATTGAGCGGGGAAGCTAAGCAATTAATAGCACGATTCTATGTATCAGCAAATAATTACGACAAGGCTATTCAACACCTTGTCAAGCGGTACGGCAACAAGGAAGGCATTATTCTGGAACTCAACAGAAGCCTTCACAGCTGCATAGCCAGAGGTCCTAGCACAATGGAAACGACAGTTATGGGGCAAACTGTCTACAATAGCAGCACAACTGGAGGAGCATGAACAACAGCTCAACAATCAATTAACGGTTCAAATCTTTCTTCAAAAATTCCATACGCGCATAAGGAAAGCAGCTATGGAAAGAAGACTAAGAGAAGCAAGAAAATCAGCTTGAGTGGACTTTGGACCAATGGCTTGAGGCCATTGATGACATCATCTCACAAGAAGAGCAATTGAATCACATGCTCTCAGCTGAAAGGCAATTTAGTGAACACTCGCTTCACAAGGCAACACCATTCAGAGCAACCCCACAGCCGAATGGAAAATGGAAAACAATAATCCCTTGTGAGTGCTGTGGGAGTAAAGGACACAGATGGAGCACCTGTCCGCAGATACCCACAGCCACACAGAAAAGAAGGTTCCTTATGGAGTCAAACAGGTGTCTTAATTGTGGCTCCGCTAATCACAGACTAACTGCATGTCTTAGCGGGAACTGCAGAAAATGCCACAAAAAACACCACACATCAACTTGCATAGAAGACAAAACAAGGGGACCTGAGAATTGTGGCAAATCATCATCAGGGCCTCAGAAATACGTAGAAAAAAGACCATTAAAAACTGAAATAAAAAGAGTAAGCAAGCCTTATCACTCCTCGAAACAACACGCAGTAACCAAAATACTGGAGCAAGAAGAACAGCATCATCTCGCGGAGGACCAAGAGCCAGTGAGAGATACCACACCGGAAGCTCCATTGGTGCTGCAAGTGAAAAACAAAAATGAATGGACACAAAGCAAAGTGATCTTACTCACCGGGGCAGTTAAGATCATTAACGACCAAGGACGATCCAAAGATGTAGTCGTACTGCTGGATACCGGCTCGGAGCTGTCCTTCATAGAAGAGGGGCTCGCCGAAGAACTGGATCTGCCGATAATTGGCACAACAACCTTGGAACTTAGTACATTTGGATCACCGTCTCATAAAATGAAATCATGTGCTGTGACCAACCTGATACTGATGGATCGAAATGGCAAAGAGCATAAAGTACGGCTCTACAGTTACATAACTAGCGCCGTACACAGAGCAAACCTAAACAGGAACGATTTGCAGTTCATCAAAAAAGGAAAATTCGACTTATCCTTGCCATTAGAAGAAGGAGAACTTCGACCACAGATTCTACTTGGCTGCGACTATCTCTGGAACTTCATAGAACCAGGCAAAAAATTGAGCTTACCATCTGGGTTGCAGCTGATACCCACAAAGTTGGGTACATCATCAGTGGTCGGCAGATAGTTAGCAATCAAAAATCTCCTTCGACCAGTAAACCAGCAATAACCTGTATGTTACACGGGGCTGAAACCGAGAAGGAAACATGGGACCGCTATTGGTCTTTAGAATCTACTGGCACAGAAGAATACGCTGGTTCACAACAAACAGAGATACAACGAGTGAACGATGAAGTACTAAAAAGATTCAAGGAATCCATCGAAAAAAGGGAAGATGGATACTACGTACGCCTGCCTTGGAAGGAAAATCATCCAGATCTCCCTGATAATAAGGCATTGGCGCTAAAAAGATTGAAGAAAGTTCTGGAGATATATCAGAAGGATGATGAGATTCTCCAAGCATACGATAACACCTTCACAGACCAACTACAAAAGGGTGTTATTGAAGAAGTATCACCAGAGGAGCCCACTGAAGGACAGATTATACACTACCTACCGCACCAGGCGGTCATTACGCCATTGAAGGAGACAACGAAAATAAGAATCGTCTTCGACGCATCGGCACATTACAGGAACTGCCCATGCTTGAACGATGTTTTACACCAAGGGCCCCTCATCCTTCCCAACTTAACAGGAGTGATACTTCGATTTCGATTTCATAAGATCGCAGTGATGTCCGATATCGAAAAGGCGTTTCTTCAAGTAAGACTACAAGAGAGGGACCGTGACGCTACACGCTGTATATGGGTGAGAGACATTGCACAACCACCCACACAGGAGAACCTGGTAACTTACAGATTCACCAGAGTTACCTTTGGCCTCAACGCCTCACCATTTCTGCTGAGCGCTACAATAGATTACCACCTTGAAACCACAGCTAGCAAGGACGATATGACGGCAGAGATACGGAACAATCTATATGTAGACAACCTCTTCTTCGGTGCACAGTCGTCCCATGAAGCACTTACCAAATATGTCCATACGAAAAATCTCTTTCGCGAACTCAATATGAATCTTAGAGAGTATCGCTCTAATGATGAACACTTTAACAAAGCCATCGAAGAAAGCGATAGGATGCAGTCCACATGCCCCAAGGTCCTAGGCATTCCATGGAATTCGGAAATAGACAAATTTATTATCAAAGGATCCATGGTCTTCTCAAAAGAAAGGATTACTAAACGCACAGTCACGCAGCAACTAGCGTCGGTATATGATCCATTGGGATTACTGGTACCTTTACTACTTCCTGCCAAAATCTTCCTGCAGTCACTCTGGAAGGAGGAATTGGATTGGGACACCGCCCTCAACCCATCACTGCAGGACCAGTGGCGACAGATATCCACCGAGATATCGACATTCTATAAAGAGGTACACAGGCAAATTCTTACAACAGATAAGAAGACACGACTGGTCGTATTCACAGACGCTAGCCAATGCGCGATAGCGGCATGTGCGTATCTCACCACAGAAGATGAATCCAATCTCGTTATGGGGAAATCAAAACTACCATCAATAAAAACGTCGATGACGATACCGAAGTTAGAAATGAACGCAGTAACGCTCGGCGTACGAATGTCCCACTTCATCTGCACAGAACTACAATCAGTCTGCAAGATAGAAAATGTCATATACTACACAGACTCAGACGTCGTACTGGGATGGATAAAATCCCCTCCAACCCGGCACACCGTAGGAGTCCTGGTTACGAATCGACTGACGGAAATAAGACGCATAACCAGTGATCTCGGAAACAGGAATATAAAGTGTTTCTTCGGAACATGTCAAGACGTCGGAGAATCCTGCTGACTGCGGATCCAGGGGACTGACAGCAGGAGCACTGAGTGACCACACATGGTGGAAAGGACCAAGCTTCATAAACAAAGTGGATTACGCTACACTTACCGAAATAGAGAAAGATGAAGAAGTAATAACAGCGACAATGGACTCAATTGCGCACATATCCACAGAACAGCCCAATGACCAAATAATAGACTTGACAAGATACAGCTCTCTTGAGAAGGCACAGAGAGTATTGGTCTATGCACTACGCTTCATAGGAAAATCTTCCATTCACTTCACCGAAGAAAGGAAAACAGAAATTCAAAGGAACATACCAGCCTTGAAGGCGATGTCAAGGTCGCAAAACATCACAGGAGCAGAAATGCACGAAAGCAGAATGTGCATAATTAGAGACCATCAGAAACACTACGTGGACGAGCACCTCATAAAATCACAAAAGGAGTTGAACATCCGTGAAGATGAGCAAGGAGTATTACGATGTTACGGAAGACTCAAGAAAGCCGATATATCACTCACGGCAAGAACACCGATATATATCGCACCAAAAACAGCGCTCATATCTATCTATCTATAGTATCTCATCATCACAGAGGTTCACAAAAATTACCATCGCGGACTAGCCCACACCATCTCCTCAGTACGAGAGAAATACTGGATACCAAAAATACGGCAACAAGCGAAGAAAATCATAAGAGAATGCGTACCGTGTCAGAAGATGAACAACCTGCCCTTCCACTATCCAGATATGGAAGCTCTACCGACCACGCGAGTACAAAGGGCAAGTCCATTCGAGCACATTGGATTGGACTACTTTGGGCCCCTGATGATCACAGACAACATGGAAGGATCCAATAAAGTCTACGGATGCATCTTCACCTGTCAGATAACGCGGCTGATACACCTCGAGCTGGTGGGAAATATGACCACAGAGGCATTCATCAACGCATTACGAAGACTCTTCGCGAGAAGAGGAGTTCCACAGACAATAACCTGTGACAATGCACCGACATTTTTATTAGGAGAGCAAATCCTAAAGGACACTACAGAAAATGCGATTCACAGCACTGAATTCACAAGCGAAATTGCACGACGAGAGATTAAATGGAATCACATCACACCTTATGCACCGTGGCAGGGTGGATTTTACGAGAGGTTGATACGATCCATCAAGAATTCGCTGTACAAATCGCTTGGAGTGCGAACAATCACATTTGATGAGTTAAGGACGATGCTCACAGAAATAGAAGCGATGCTGAATTCGAGGCCACTCACATATCAAGAGGAAAAGTGGGAAGAGCAACCTCTTTTGCGACCTATCGATTTCCTTCAGAACAACATAATACTAGATTACGTTCTAAAATACATCGGTGAAGAAGGAAGCGACAAGATCTACCATACCCCGGAGGAGGCCCAGCAATTAGCGACACAACGACAAGTAGAAGCAGCACTCAAAACGTCGATAAACCTCACAGAACAATTTTGGAAAATATGAAGAGAGCAGTACCTTATTAGCCTTCGAGAACAACACAAAATTCGAATGGATAACAAAAGAGGAGCAAAAGGAGCACCAAAAATAGGAGATGTAGTTCTATTGTGGGACGCAATTCAACCGAGAAACACATGGAAAACAGCAAGAATAGTACAACTTGAAGACTCACCCACGAAAATCGTCAGAGAGGTCGTCGTCGAAACACCCAACAAAAGAAGACTACGTCGTCCAGTAAATCGAATCGTGCCGCTGGAAATTGATAATAACACCACAGTCCAGCAAAAGAAGCTAGATTCGTCCACAGTTCAAACGCAAAAGGATACCACTCCTTACAATCTCAGACCGAGAAAAAACATCAATTACAAAGAACAAGAAGCAGGAGAATCAACGCAAAGAAGAAAAGGAACATCCACTTCAACAACCTCCTTGTTTACGATGATGTTCCTCTCCCTCTGCATACAAATAACAACAGGATCGTCTAACAACAGCAACCACTCCCTACAGTGCAATGAAGGAGGAGTAATTCTAACGCAAATTACACAAAATCCATACGAAATCTGCGCCGAGAACTATTGTGTGGAATTCAGAAAGCCAAAATACAAAGAAATAGTAAGATTTCCGCCACACATCACAGTCCATGATCACCTTGTCAAATGGAAGACTTTCGACGGTACAGATGTAAATATCATGGAAACCACCTGTAGAGCAGCGCCTTTCTGTGGACAAATTGACTGCGTCTTCTGTTCAGTCATGATAGCAAATCCAGAATGCTGGCCTAGGACAGCCATTTTAGCCACAGGACTCATAGTTTACGCAGGAGTAGCCGTGTGCTATTGCCTTTTCCACGTACCAGTGCTGATGGGAACGCCACTGATTTACCTCCTGAAAATTACGAGAATGTGTCTGAAAGGGCTGATCAAGTTCGTATGGAAACTTCTCACAATACCACTTTCAACAACTCGTCGTCAGCGCAGAAGAAGGATTTCCCTCTCAGAAGCAGCCATACTCCTCGCCATCATCTATGCAAAACCATTGCAAGCATGTCAGGATGTCGACATCTTCACTCATCACAGCCGATCTTGCTATAGAACATGGAGCAAGGAGTACTGCACCATAGACACGACAGAAATCCTGAAGATCAATCCCTTCAAACAGGAAGCGTGCATTCGACTGCGGAACGAAGAGGCGAGTGTTTTGGAAGTGAAGTTATTATGGAAGAATCTTAATCTATTTTGCGAGAAGCAGACAATACTATATTCGAGGAGCACCAGATACGCACTGTTGGACAGCAAAAGATGCCCACACGCAGGATCGTGCACAGGAGACAAATGCGGAAAGGTGAACAGAACCTCGAAGATAGCAGAACTGCACAGAGCAAACAGCTTCCCAGGCATCACAGGATGTGTGGAAAGCTGCGGTGGCCCAGGTTGTGATTGCTTTTATCCTAGCTCTGGATGCTTATTCTATAGAATTTACCTACTACCAAATGACGAGAAGGTTTATGAACTTTTCAAATGTAGTCGATGGAGGCCGGTGGTGGACCTACAGCTGAAGATCAACGAAGCGGACGAACCCCAACAGGACCTCAATTTTCATCTAATTCCGAACCAACCGAAAGTTTCGCCGCCATTTACCATCACACTTTCGTCCATTAGTATACCACCAACCCCCATGTTGGATACTACCTTTCTCACAGACGGTACACTGACCGCAATCACACCAGGACTTCTTACACCCCCACTGGTGTGCGACTCATATTACAATGCAGCCAACCTTACCTGTGAGGTTAGAGAAGACTGCAAATGCACGCCAGCAGAAGTAAAAATAACTTGCAACTGCAAGGAAGTGAATCTCACCGCACATATTCGAGAGCCACGGTACAGATTACCTGCATTGCGACCGAATCTCGAATTACACCCGATGAACGGAACTGTTGTGTCGAGGATACCACAACTCCCTACAGCTGAATTCGTCCTACGAATCAAGGGAAAATTCGACACAACAGCAGTGAGATCACAGGCAGTGTGTACAAGCGAGGATACGCATTGTAGTGGATGCTATGAATGCCCAAAAGGAGCTAAGGCTCTAATCACATGTAAATCGTCTACACCGACGTCATGGGCAGAGATACAATGTGAGGACGATGCATTCACAGTCAAATGCACAGAAAAAGGAACACAAACCAACATAAGCTTTATTAGCGACAAAGCGCTGTTCTACCGAAGTTGCACAATTAAATGTGGAACGACAATCAAATCCTTCAAGATCACTGGCCTGCTTCACTATACCGGAAGTCTAGAGGGAGCAGCATGGCGCATTTTGAATGGTGAAAGTGAAATTTTTTCGGAGATCAATTTACCAGACTTCGAGCACCTGGCACAGACCTTCCTTACATGGTGGTCAACGCTAGCCATAACTGGAATACTCGTCTTAGTAGCATTGCTATTAACCTACCTGGCTCTATCCAATGCTTGCTTCTGCATGACAACGCGACTAATTTTCCGCATAATTACCTAAAATACTGAAGACTCACCCAGATGTTCACGTACTCATGTATGCAGACGATATAAAAATTTATGGAATTATACAATGAAAACCACACATCAGTCAAGAATGCATTACAACGTGCCATTAATTTAATGGTGGACTGGTGCAAAGTCTGGGATATCTCTGTCAATGTGAATAAAAGTTCTGTTTTCCACATCGGTTTTGGCACTAATGACGATTTTCAATACGAACATGCCGGTATAATTCTAGAAAAAAGACCTTATGTCAAGGACTTGGGAGTAATTTTTACCCCATCTCTGAAACCTGACTTACAGATCAAAGCCGTTATTTCCCGTGCAATTTCTGTTACCTATCTCATATATCGTAGCACCAAAGTCGATAACCCTAAGATACTTTTAAAACTTTACAGAGCTTTTGTTATCCCCAATTTAGAGTATGCAAATCAGGTGTGGAACCCCTCTCTGGTGAAGCACAAACAGTCTCTGGAGAACGTTCAGAAAGTTTTCACACGACTTCTGTTTTACCGTTGCTTTCCCAATCCAAAATATCCCCAATCACTTCCTAATTATGAAGAACGCTTGAAAAAACTTGGTCTGAAAAGCCTCTCTTACCGTAGAGTTGAACACGACCTTGTACTTGCTTTCAGGATTTTCAGAGGGGAGACCATATTAAGGCCTTCCAAGTACTGGGTATTCAGACCCACATACGGAAGGATCAGTTGTTTTTCTATTTATCATCAGCGAATCGGTGGGCGAAAGAAATCAACGTTATCAAACTACGACTTTTTCCAACGTGTGATAAACCTGATACAAAAACTACCTAATGAAGTTCTTTCATGCACTAATAGCAACTCTTTCAAAAATAAACTAAAAACACTGAGATTAAACGAAATCTTTACAGATAGTGCTAGTCCGACATGTGTTTTTCCATGATGAGGTGGCTACGTGCGATTGATGTGCGATTGAATTTTTGAATGGACTTCAAATTAGACCAAATACGGCCATTAATACTTGTCTTTCTACCAATATTATTTGCTTTCTACATTTCCTACTAACCCATATCATGTCATCATGTTAGTGCAGGTCTGAACAACGATTGCTTCCTTTCAATCAGCAAAGCTTGCAGACTTGCTCTAGTTGAGTTAATAAGTGGAATTCTATCGATATTCTCTCGGAGCATTGGTCTCTCCCCGGAATCATTTGGGCAAGGTTATTTGCTACTCTACCGACCAAGCCTTGCTTTGCTAACTTTACTACTTCAAGAGCATTTTGCTAGCAAGCGAGTAGGCGTGAACACCACCTCCACAGCTTTCAACAACTTGCTGATCTTCTCGATCACATACGATTCATTGCAACCCTCCATATTACTCAAGATTGATCTTGAGTTATTAAGCTCGTCCTACTTGCCTCATATGGTGAGAGTATATCCACCATACAAACCTAGGCTATAAAATATCTTAGAGAGTTTTGCTGGCAATAATGGGGGCATGGGTACCATCTCCATGATCACATCTTTAGACTCTGACAAGTGTAATCTAGAGCAGTCACATACAAGCTCAGTCAACATATAATTCTTAA